ACGATGAGGTCATATCTGTGTGATGCGGTAGCGCCACGTCTGTCGGGCCGCTGCTGTACCACCCTCCTCGACCTGTGCGCGCACGGCAGGGACCCCGCCCTCAAGATGCCGAGGGAGTGCCTGCAGCTGTGGCTGCGATGCTGGACATCGGAGCCCGCCATGCGGTCAGGTGTTTCGAGGACGTGGTCTGGGGTTGTGCAGCAGTTGCGCGACGTCAAGCCTGAGCAGCGGAGCAGGCATATACGGGGGCCTCAGTCTGCAGTTGTGAGTTACTTGCTCCAGGAGGGTTGGAATCCCATCGGCCCAGCTACCTGGCAGCTGCCTGCGTCGGATGATGGCAGGTACGATGCCTGGGAATCTTATGTTGACAGGCTCACGGGAATGCGTAGCCTCGACGTCCCGTCATCTTTCCTGAGGGAGTTCGATGCCACGGTCATGGATCGGCTCTGGCGTGAGGCAGCACATCACTTCGACGGTGACGGCATGCAGAACGGAGTGTGCAACCTGTCGTATCGTGTCTTGCTACAGCAACTCAGCCGCAGGGAGCCAAGCTGGCAAGTTTGCTGCTGGCGGCGGCGGCGGGCGCGGCCTGGCCGCGCACCCGACGCTCCGAGAGGGCGAAACAAAGGCTGTCACAGCTCTGCGCACGCTGTGGGGCCGTCCCTGAGGATAGCTATCACAGGTGCTGGGGGCAGTGCGATGGGCGGCAGCCTCACCCCATCTACGAGATGACGGACGAGCTGCTCATCAAAGCTCAGGCTCAGCACGAGTCTGAGCCCTGCTTCTGGCTGCGGGGGCTCATCCCTGCCGACTGGGTACGGGTCAAGCCGCCGCAGCAGGGTGAAGAGTGGCACGACTACGGTTGCAATGGTTTCGAGCAAGGGGCCCTGGGCTGCGGCAGCGAGGTGAGCCCCCTCTTCATCTTCGGGGACGCGAGCGGGGGCAAGGACACGCACGACCCCCGCTTGAGGCGGGTGGGGGTCGGCCTGGCAGCCGTCACGGAGCTCGCCGAGCCCATGCAGATCACTGCCGCGGTATGGGGTGGTTTGCCTGGCGGCCGACAGACGGTCGGACGAGGGGAGCTCTATGCCCTCTACACGGCCATTCGCGGCGCGGACGGGCATATCAATTATGTGACAGACAATGCGAACGTGTGTGAAGG